TCCTGCCATACCTGTGTGTTTACACAGGTGGGCTTCAGGATTTGTACAGCTAATGTGCTTCTGCGTGGGTGTGTGCTTTTATTGTGTGAATACTAGTGTGTGTGTGTGTGTGTGTGTGTGTGTGTGTGTGTGTGTGTGTGTGTGTGTGTGTGTGTTAGCACTAACGGTGAGGCAGACGGTTTTGAGGTGGTGCAGGCGGTCCAGGGCCTCCTGGGGCTTAGCCAGGTACTGTGGGAGCTCGGCGTGCAGCAGCCGCATGGAGAACGGCACCATGGAGCCTGGACAGGATGGAGGGAGGGAATAAGAAACAAGGTGGGATGAGGACAGAGCAGGAAGGAGAGCGGGAGAAGGATGAGAATATAAAGCCATCCACCCACACACAGACTGCACACAGCCCTGGAGGCAGGAACCTACAGATGGCACCGAGCTACGTATGGCTGCTTATTAAACCCTCTCATCTCGCTCTCTCTGTGCGCTGCTCAGCTCCATCACTCATCTCTCTGCCTCGACATCACACACACAGACACACACAGACACACACACGCGCCCCTGAGGAAGAGCCTATATTCAGGTGAGTCCCCGGGCTTTGATCAGCGCCTCTTTGATATCAGCCATCAGATGTGAAAGTCTGGTCCATCGCTGCCCGTCTCTATCTCACCTTCCATCTCTCCTCGTCTATCTGCTCCAACTCGACACTCTCTCTGCTCTGCCCCCGCCCTGCGTTATAGGGTTTTATCGTCACGGTGACGGGACCTCGCCGACTCTCTGCGATTCATTATTCTTCGTCTCCCGGGGTGTCAGTCATTTTCAGCAGATTTAATTTATGGCTTTTACTTTCATTAGTAATAGCAGCATCCTTCATAATGAAGGAAATATGAGCATGAGGATTAAACCAGAGCCTGCAGTTCCTCTAACATCCAGCAGAGGCAGCAGTGAGTCAGTCCCCAGAGATGCCCATGTTAAAATAAACAGCCTGATTGGTCAGGATAGTAGGCATCATTAGGGGGCGTGGCCTCTTTGACTTGTAGGTGAATGGCAACAAAGGTGTCTGTAGCTGCTTGCTGAACCTCTGGGCTGTGTTTGTGCTGTCAGAGCCTTTTTAATCTGACCAATAATACGGCCTCTTTCCAAATATGGTCACTTCTGGAAACAAAAACACAACATGGCAGCAGCCAAGGTGCCAACACTGTGGAGTTGACATGTACTGGTGAGCAGGAGCAGGTAGGAACTAACATCGAGGCAAGACAGCTGAAGGTGCTGAGGACAACGCCCCGAGAACTGAAGACAAACAGGATAGAAACATCCTATCACAATAAAAGCCTTCAGAAGAAACAATGTCTCTGGAATCCTAATGCTTTTATTTTGAAAAGCACAATACTGCTACGTGTTCTGTGTCTCGCACGACGATACGAGCCATGAAAATTTAAGCCAGAAGTTTGACGTTTTTCTTCAGTGAATTATCAGAACACAGAGTTCGCCTTTAGACTGCTAAATGTCTCACTGTGTCTCTCAAAGCTCCAACGCTGGGAGGGGAAAAATAACACAATTGAAAAAGCTCCAGATTTGAACTGGGCCCTGCACACTTGGAGGTCTGCTAGTCTGAAAATATTCATAGTATGAATATAACAAAAAGCACAAACAGCTGACTGTGAGCGGGTCAGGTGGGACCTCTCCTTCTGAACCAGCTGCAGTAACTGTGTGCAGGTTCCGAGGTCTCTCAGCCCAAACTGGACTCAGCTTTTCACGCCCGTACCCAACGGAGGACCTCTGCTCCTTCCCCGAGCGCTCGCTCGCTGCTGCGCAGACCGGGCGTCTCTGAAGGCCTTCAAAGAGCACGATCACAGGTAATAGATAGTCGATGCAAGCGGAGAATTGTTCGACTTGTGATGCCAGGCAACACAACTCATGCCAGTTTGTCTGAGAGCACCTTAGCAGGGCACAAAGCGTTTAATATTGAGCAATGGAAAGTCAATCGGTGCTCTTCAGAGAGCTGTGCAGTGTAGCTTCAAGTGTTTTTTATGTAAGGGTGTGTGTGTGTCTGTGTGATGTGTGCTGCCTTCACACTGCGGTAGCCCGAGGGGCGAAGCAGATCCAAAGTAATGGGAATACATTAGAGAGCAATTCATGCAGTGTAAAAAGAGGAAAAACAAAACCAAAGAGCTGCTGGAGACAAGTGGAGTTGTTGGAGCTTCTCGATGATACAGGCTGATATCAAGCTCCTGGCACCAACTTTCCTCTGAATATTTAATAGGACAGTGGTGGATACGCTGGTGCATTCCTACAAAAAAAAAAAAAAAAAAAGTGTGGGTAAAATGCTAAATCCTGTCGTAGAGCAGCCAGCAGCCTAATAACGCATTCAACGCTCGCAGAGCAGCCTCTCAGCGCCGTCATGAGCACCGCCGTTCAGCCTTCAGAGGCCTCAGCGAGCAGCTCACGGACAGAACACGCAGCGGGCTCTGCTCGAGCCTCTGATCCATGATCAATAGCAGCAGCGGAAATAACGCGAGCGTCACCGCAGACTCACCTGGTTGGCTGCTGTCACGTAAAGGCGGTAACGACGTCTGTGCGATGGGCCGCGGACGTCATTTCTCGACCCAGTTTCATACGTGTGAAAGTTGGAGCTGTGTTTACTCCATGACGGTGTGATTACAGACTTTTTTAAATAAATATTTAAGTCTAGTCAGATTTATTCTTCTTGTATGACCCAGAAAACACCACGAGGAACATCGGGATACAACGCTGTGTGTGTGTCCATACCTTTCCTGCCTGGGTACACAGTGGGGTAGTACTCGTAGTAGAGGTCCGGCTGATCCAGGTTGCCGAAGGGTTCAAACTCCAGCTCGGCATTTTGGAAAAGGCCCAGCTTGGTGAGCAGAGCAAGCCGCACAAACCAGAGCTGCAACACACACACACACACACACACACACACACACACACACACACACACACACACACACACACACACACACACACACACACA